TCCTGCATAGGCTACCCTGCCCATTCAGCTGCCCTTGGACAAGGTCACCACCTGTCCTTCCACACCTGCCCTTGTTGGTCGCAGGCACAGGCTGGGTGGATGTGTGCCACACGCAGCCTGCTGGCTGTCAGGGTCAGGCAGCGTCCACATCCCCAGAGCTCAGGGTGCACAGGGGTCTCCTCAGCCTTCGGGTAGAAACACCTCCGGCCTCTGCCTGGCTCTGTGTGCGCACATGCCCCAGAGGTGACCCCGCCAGACACTGCCTGAGCGCCGCCCACGTGCTGACAGCCCCTGGTGTGTGTGTGTGTGTGTGTGTGTGTGTGTGTGTGTGTGTGTGTGTGTGTGTGTGCGCGCGCGCGCGCGGCTTATGTCCTCCACACTCCTCTGGCTTCAGCTCACCTGGCTCCCAGGAAGGGCTGCATATGGGGCTCTGGAGTCCCTGTGATGCTGCGGCTGCACTGAGACCTTGTGTCATGGTGGGAGCTGTGCTGAGTCCAGTCTCCTGGGCGGGGAGACCTGCTGGAGGAGACTGCCTCACCTGGAACTGCTGAGCCCAAGGACACTGCTGTCACGCTGCCCTTACCCAGTGTGGCCAGCAGCACTTGTGTCCCCTGGGCCCCATCGTAGGGAGCAGCTGTCACGTGCTGCTGGCTGGACGGGACCCTGCAGAGAGCGGGTTGCAGTGGGCACACGCTGACCCTGCCCGGCTCTCCCCCACAGGACTACATCTGTCCAAGATGCGAGTCGGGCTTCATCGAGGAGCTTCCGGAAGAGACCAGGTAGCTGCCCCGTATGGAGGCTGGAGAACTGGCAGGGCTGGAGCCAGCAGCAGGGAGGCTGGAGTGGGGGTGTGGCCTCATCGTGGCTCCCCTCCCCCAGCCTGGTCCGTGTCTCTGTGTTGAGAATGGGGGACGCTTATCTTTATGGGAGGGGCATGTATGACAGCAGAGCTGCTGTGAGGCCTCAGATGTTTAGTTCCTGGGACCTTCTAGGTCACCCTGGGGATTTGCCACCTCTGGCCTGACCACTGAGACGGGAACAGGAGCGGGTGCAGGGCGGCCCTGTGCCTGGTGGGGAGGTGCCTGGCGTTGCTGACAGGCGCTGTTTCTGCAGGAATACAGAGAACAGCTCCGCCCCGTCCACAGCCCCCACCGACCAGAGCCGGCAGCCCTTTGAGGTGAGTCAGAGCTCCCGTGATCCCCAGCACTCTGCCCTGTCCGAGATCTGCCCGGGCTCTGCCTTCTGGGTGAGCTCTGTCCAACCATCTCTGCTCTGGGATTCGGAGCCCCAGCCCTGGAGCCGCGGACCGGGGAGGTGGAGGTGGTATCGGGGGCTCTACCTGTGGGTCTGGCCCCTTGACTGCCCTGGCCTCGCCTCTGTGCCCACGGTGCCCCAAAGACCATGCAAGCTCAAGGCCTGTCCCCTGTGCCCCCTCTCCTTAGAACGTGGACCAGCATCTGTTCACGCTGCCCCAGGGCTATGGACAGTTCGCTTTCGGCATCTTTGATGACAGCTTTGAGATCCCCACGTTCCCTCCTGGGGCGCAGGCTGACGACAGCAGGGACCCTGAGGGCCGGCGGGAGAGAGAGCATCAGTCCCGGCACCGGCATGGCACCCGGCAGCCCCGCGCCCGCCTTACCGCCAGGCGGGCTACCGGCCGGCACGAGGGTGTCCCCACGCTGGAAGGGTGAGGGGCTGGGGTGACTGGAGAGGGCCCTCTCAGTGGCTAGGAGGTGGGCACATGCTCTGTCCTCCACCCCAAGGGAGGACCCCAGTCTCCTCACCCCACCCCAAGCGGGGCATGTTCTGGGGCCTGAGGGAAAACAGCCCTCAGCACACCTGGCTCCCACGCATGTCCTAGCCTTGGTAGAGCTGGGTCTGAGGGACACTTGGCTGGGTTCTGCCTTATCCCTTTGAAAGAGTCACCTTAGCTGGGTGTGGTGGCGCACACCTGGGATCCCAGCACTTGCGAGACTGAGACAGGAGACTCAGAAGTTTGAGATCAGCTGGGACTACATAATGAGTTCAAGGCTGGCCTGGATGACATAGAGCAACCCTGTCTTAAAAATCAACCCACACTGCTCACCTGAAAGCTGGTGACAGCCGCTCCCTCTGCATCTCCTGCAGGCCAGCCATCTGTGCTGGTTTCTGTCATGACGGGCCTGTCGCTCACTCTTTTCCAGGATCATCCAGCAGCTCGTCAATGGCATCATCACCCCAGCCACCATCCCCAACCTGGGCCTGGGCCCCTGGTGAGTAGAGGTTAGGGCATCCCGTCCCCTGTTCCGCTGCCCGCCCCAGCCTCCTGACCCAGCCTCTCGCCACCCAGGGGCGTCCTGCACTCAAATCCGATGGACTATGCCTGGGGGGCCAACGGCCTGGACGCCATCATCACACAGGTAGCCCCTAACCCAGAGTCCCACAGAGCCCAGGGATGTGCCTCGGAGGCCCTGCCTGGCCTCCTGCCTGTTTCTGGTGTCCCTTGGAGTGTGTTGTAAAGCCACCCAGCTTGCCAAATACCCTCTTGCCTGCCCCCTGGGCCCCCACCTCTCCTGAAGTGGGGCCTTCAGACCCCGGGGGTGGGGCGACCGGTGGGGAGGGGCAGTAGGGTGCCTGTGGGGCCTCTTTGGGACTGGAGACCTCGTGGCAGCCAGGACAAATGTAGCCCCGGTGCTTTTGCAGGTCCTGCAGCCACCGGCTGCGAAAGGCGGCCTGCGCCCCTCAGGAGCAAGCCCCGCCCCCGTCCCCGAGGAGCTCCCGGCACTGTCCTCTTGTCTTTCAGCTCCTCAACCAGTTTGAGAACACGGGCCCCCCGCCTGCGGACAAGGAGAAGATCCAGGCCCTGCCCACCATCCCTGTCACCGAGGAGCACGTAGGTACGGCTGGTCTGCCTAGGAGCCTGTGCACGGGGTTGGGCCGGCCACAGCCAGAACCTAGGGGCCCGCGGCCCTCCCTGCCTCATCCCATTTCCCACAGGCTCCGGACTCGAGTGCCCCGTGTGTAAGGACGACTACGCGCTGGGTGAGAGTGTGCGGCAGCTGCCCTGCAACCACCTGTTCCACGATGGCTGCATTGTGCCCTGGCTGGAGCAGGTGAGCAGGGCCATTGACCACGCCCGTCTCTTCCCAGGCCAGGGTTCCCCTGGCTCCGCCCTGCTTCTAGCGCATTCCTGTGCAGGCTGCGGGCCCCAAGCCTGACCCCCCATCTTCGGCTTTCTTCCCACAAAGCACGACAGCTGCCCCGTCTGCCGCAAGAGCCTCACGGGACAGAACACGGCCACAAACCCCCCGGGCCTGAGTGGTGTGAGCTTCTCGTCCTCGTCGTCGTCCTCGTCCTCCAGCTCACCCAGCAATGAGAATGCCACGAGCAACTCCTGAGCCACCGGCCGCAGGGACACTCAGCGCTTCCCGTCGTTGCCACAGCACACGGCACCCAGGCTGCGCCGAGGGGACCGCCCCCCAGGGACCAGAGCTGGGACGCGCCCGAGGGACACAGGCCCTGCTGCTCGAGCGAGGGCCCGGCTCCTGTCCTGTCTCTAACCTCACCCTCCAGGTGTTCACGGCAGAATGGTTTTTATGATTTTAAATTATTACTGCTTTGAAATAAATGGACGTTTTGGCTCACACGCGGCCGGGCATGATCTGTGGAGAGGCCGGGTGGAGCTGCTCACCAGGACTGGCCCAGGGCCCGTCTGCAACCCACAGCCTGCGCCGGCTCGGGACCACAGGGTGACCGGCAGAACCAGGAACAAAACTGCTCCACAGACGTTTTCTAAAAGGAGAAATATGTGTATCTTGAAAGCTATTTAAAATACACCTACTCGAGGAGCCGGTGGTTTGGTGTGTTCCTTCTGCCCCGGTGTGGCTGGCTGGGTCCGGGTGCCACCAGTTGGGGGGTTTACTGTACCACAGAGGGAAGCTGGGGGCGAAAAGGCCAAGGAAGCGTCACCAGGATGGCAGTGTCCTGGGGCTGAACCCAGCAGCAGGTCGGGCCGTCTGCAGACCCCACACAGGCAGCTCCACTGGTTGCCTGTGGGGCCAGCGGAGGGTGAAGCTGGCTGGTTGGGGAACTTGCTTCTGGCTGGGGCTTAGGGGCCGCGGTGGCACTGGCGGTCTCAATCTTGAGAGTCCTAGAGTCGTGGCCCCAGGTCAAGGTGATGCAGAAGGATGGATGGCTGAGTGCCACCGCCGCCCATCGGGAGGAGCAGCCACACCTGTCCCCGCTCTCTGTTCATGGGGGTCGGCGCTACGACAAGCGTCATTCTGTGTCCATGCTGACCTGAAGAGCTGGGCACCTGCACCTCACGCATCCTGGCTGCAGCAGAGCAGCCCTGCCAGATGTCCCAAGAGGTCGCAGAGAGCAGTGGCTGGGGCTCGATTGACCACGGTGCATACCCCGTGGATGGTCACACTGCAACCCCAGAGCCTGGGATCAAAGCAGTGCTTGGCAGAGATCAAAGGCGCCAAGATGGGTGACTGTCCTGGGTCATCATGAGCTTTGGAACATGAGCTTCTGGACGTGCATCTCCAGCTACCAGGCTGGCGCCAATTCATGACAGCATCCAGTGAAGCCCCAGGCAGGTTGTCAGTCGCCCTCTTCCTCTGCCTCGCTACTGAACTACCAAGCATAGTCATGCTGGGCCTCATTTCTGGTGGAAAATGGGGCTCTGAGTTGCACGGTTTTTGGGAAGATGAGGTTTGATTTCTGTGCACTGTCACGGCTTAAAGCTGCCAGCCAACCGTGTGGGGAAGGAGCCAGCCAGAAGGGAAATCTACGGCAAGAGCCAGAGACACCTCGGAGATACGGAGAGCCAGTTAACAGACGGGACACTGCCCAGGTGTGAGATTCTGAGGTCCAGGCCCACCAGGCACAGAGCCAGCCCCTCAGCCAGCCTGCTCGGCCTGCCCACCCGGCAAGAGCCAGGAGGCTCCGAGTCTGCGCATCCCCAAGGCCTTCGGGCCCGTGTGTCCTTGCGCCACGACAGGTGACCGCATGCTGGATGGTTTGTAATGTTTATTACCCAACTTTCTGGGGCCTCCCAGGGCTGTTCTCCCCGGGGGCTCCCGCCCCAGCCCGCAGCCCTCAGCTCGAGGCCCCTTCCTCCCTCTGCAGAGCCAGCAGCACTGCGTCGTCAGCCTCCCCCTCCCATGCCCTCTCGGGGAACCCTGGGGAACACTGGTCCCGGGTGGTCAGGATGGCCCCCCTCAGGGTCCATCCCTTCCCATCCGCAGTCTCTTTGTCCATGTGAGGCATCCTCCGGCTCAGCATTGGGAGGTGGCTGTGGCCTGGCTCACCTCATGGGTGCAGCCTCCATCACTGTCTCACGGTTCCCGGGCCCCGTGTCCTCTGCCTTGGCAGCTTGCACACCCGCGTCCTCCTGACACCCTGTCCCCAGCGCTCTCCGACTCTGGTGTGTCCCTGCCCCCAAGCTACGTCCACTGTGGTTCCAGGAGCCTTCCCAGATCTGACGCTGGCCTTGACCTTCAGCCCCTCCTCCCGACACACGGGTATAACTGGCTTCTGCCGCCCCCAGAGGCAGCTCCCCAAGGCCGCGCCTTGCTGTGGGGGACCTCTTTGTGCCCCTAGTGCCTGGCACACAGTAGAGACCTATTAAAGCTTAAGATGGGAATGAGTAGAAGGACAGGTAGCCCCTCACTCGCTGCCCAGCTCCGGACCCGCATGCAGCGCGACCCTCAGGAGACCAGCACAGGGAGGAAGTGGGTGGACAGCTGGTGCCGCCACGTCCGGCTGCCTCGCCGGGGGGCCCCGCGTCCGTCCAGTGCCAGGAACATGGGCCGGCCCCGGTGGCGCCAGCGCAGCGAGGCGTAGGTGTTGTATCCGTTCTCCTCGATGCGCTCCAGGAACCTACAGTCCACAGAGTAGGCCCGCTGCGGGGCAGGGCGTGAGCCGGGATGCGCTGCCCAACCCATTACACCCCACAGCACCGGTCAGGCCACTGTGCCCACCGCCATCCCTTGGTACTCACCGACCCATACAGGCGGCCCCTGCGGTTCATGGCCACGTAGAAGCCTGAGTGCACGGCCTTGATGGCCACAGCGCCCACGCGGACCGAACGGATCTCAACCACGCCTGCGTGGAAGGGTGGGGTCAGAGAAGCTAGCCTGGGGGTCCCTTCCCTTCCCGGGACCCCGTTTCCCAAGCACCTGCTGTGTGCATCACAAGTTGGGTGGGGACGCTCAGGAACTACGACAGGTGTCCCTGAGCTACCCTAGGGGGTGAATGGTGGTGGCAGGCAGAGACCTACTGGATGAGACCAGGAGTAGGTAGCATACTTGGCCTTGGGAGCCGGCTTCCCACTTTGGTGAGGTGGGCGTCCTGTACCCCCATACCTGTGCCATGCAAGCCAACATCGGTAAGGAAAGCTTGCCAAAGGCGTGCCTCCCAGGGACCAGGGCCAGCTCACAGTCCAGCAGAGTGGGTTCAGGAAGGAGCCACCCACCACCCTCAGTTCCTGAGGGCACAGGGGCTTTGTCTGGACCCGTCTCCACCCTCTGCTCCTCACTCTGGACCTGCAGGACTGAAGCCCTGTGGGGCAGCCAGTTATGGTCTACACTGCCCCAGGGCCACTCTGCTCTGTCACCTCAGGACCTTCGCACCTGCCATTTCTCATCCAGGTACGCAGAGGCTCGATTGAGCCACTTCCTCAGAGGCCCCTGTGTCCCAGATGGCGCTGTTGGCCACCTTCCCACTCTCTTTCTTTGTACCCCACATGGCTCCTCTGAAATGAGGACATTGCTCCCCTTTGCGCTGGGAGCCCCATGAGGGAGGCCATCTCAGTCACCACTTCATCCTGTGTCCAGCACTGCACAAGAAAACCCAATAAATAACCCCTGAGTTACTTAAAGAACCCCAAGCTCCACCCACAGAGCTGTCTATCATCTGTCACCCCCCTGTCCAGATGGGGAAACCAAGACTTACAGTAGTGACCATCCCAGGTGACCTGACACAACCAGCTGTCTCCCCCAGCCTGAGGCCACCCCGCCTGGCCATGCCACCACCGCTGGACCTGCCCGGCCAGTCCCCTGTCACTGCCCTGGTCGTGTGCACCCTAATTGAGGGCCTTGGGGCCCCAGATGAAAGGCTTGGGAGGGGCAGGGTGATTACCGGCCTGGTGGTGTGTGGTGATTCAAGCCCTGAGTGTGCCCCCTGCCCAGCTCCTGCCAGCCCTGGTGCCCAGGTACCCAGCTGCCTCCTCTCCGGCCTGGCCCCTTCTAGCCACAACACACCACAAACACTGCGGGCCTATGCTTCTGGGCAGAACCCAGCAAGAGGGGCAGAGGAGGACAGAGGCCCAGCTCCGCTGGCCCCGGAGAGACCCTGAGCCTGTTTCCTCAGCTTCCAGCGGGCGGTGGGGTCTGAAAAGAACCCAGGGCCTGGCTTTATTTCAGAAAGTCCAGAGTTTGGTGCCCATCTTTGCTTTTTTTGGTGCTAGGGATGGAACCCAGGACCTTGACACTGAGTGCCATCCCCAGCCCTACTTTACTTTTTTTTTTTTTCTTACTTTTTGAGACAGGGTTTTGCTAACTAAGTTGCTACTTTTACCCAGGTTAGGCTCAAGTCTACATCTTCCTGCCTCAGTCTCCCAGAGTGCTGGTAGGGCGGGTGTATGCCACTGCTCCTGGTCAGAGCCTATCTCTGGACCGGCTGGACTCGCAGCACTTCAGGCACAGCCCCTCTATGCAGCCCCCCTCACAGCCCCTTCTATGCAGTGGAGCCGCGGCCTGACTGCCCACCCTCTCCCGTGGGTGGCACACCCATCTAACAGCGAGGGTGGAGGGTGACAGGCTCAGCGCTGCCCTTGCTGCTGTCGCGTGCCCCGTGCATCCCTGCCCCACCGCACTCACTGTCTTGGCCATCGCGCCAGCGGGTCCCCAGCACGCGGCCGCTGGGGTCCACGCGCAGGAAGAAGTGGGTGGAGGAGAAGAGCCGCCGCCAGCGCACGTCGCCCTCCAGATGCGGGTAGCTGCGCGGTCTGCGCGATGCGCTCGGGGTCCCCGCGGCGCCGGGTGCTCGGGCCAGCAGCAGCCAGGCCAGACCCAGCCAGAGGCGGCGGCGCATGGCCCTTTCGGCTGGCCGCGCGCTCTTGCCTCCGCGTCCGCCGCTTAGCCCTGCGCGCCCGGGGCGGGGCTCCGAGTGACAGCGCACGGCCAATGGGGAGCCGTGGGGCGGGGCCAGAGAGCGGGGGTGGGCCTTGGCAGGCCAATAGGGTTGCAGAGAAGGATAGGGGGCGGGGCCATCGTGCGGTCCTAGTGACAGCCCTTGGCGTGTTTGCGTGTTTGTTTGTTTCCCGGGGCTGAAAGCGAGGTCCGAGAGGCGGTGGCGGGCTCAGGCCTGGGTTATGCGGAGGCGGGGTGGGGATGGGGGTGCGGGTGGGGGTGGGGATGAGGTGGGGGCGGCAGGAGGGAGAGAGAGACCAGAGAGACAGACCAGAAAGACACAGAGGGACAGAGATGACAGAGAAACACAAAGACAAGAGACAGAGACAGGAGGAAAAGAACAAAGAATGGAGACAATGCTGGACTTGGTGGCGCACACCTGTTATCCTAGCACTCTGGAGGCTGAGACCGGAGGATCCCTGGGAGTTCGAGGCCAACCTGTGCTTCGTAGTGAATTCAAGGCCACCCTGAACTACCTAGTGCAACCCTGTCTCAAAAAACCAAACGAACAAACAAAACAGAGAAAGGTGAGGAGACAGAAAGAAGGAGAGACAAGCATAAACAGAGACAGAAAAGGTTACGGGACAGAGACGGTGTTGGACAGAGAGAGGTGACAGCGCTAGGTATGGTGGCACACTCCTGTCACCCCAGCCACTGGGGAGGCTGAGGCAAGTAGTGAGGTGGAGGTGGAAGGTTCCAGCCTGCGTGTCAGTTGGTGGTGGCCCAGACCTGAACTGCACTTTCCAGGTGGCACTCGCCTCCCCAGCATGGGCTGGAGGGACAGAGGAGCCATCCAGGTGAGGGTCAAACTGCAGGGCCCCAGCAGTCCCATTCACATGCGCACTGTACCCACTCGGCCCCACGGCCCACCCTCATCACCCGCATGTTCTAGGGGCTGAGACAGAGACACAGAGCCAAGAGGAGTCAACGTCAGGCAGGGAAACTGAGGCTGAGTGAGGCAACAACGCCCTTTACTGGGCGGGGCTCATCCAGGATTCCAGTTCCCAGCCCGGGGCAGCAGCTTTAAATAGCAGCGGGGTGAGCTGCCAGAGAGCTTGCCCTTTTGGGGAGCCCTCAGGAGGGCAACCAGTCCTGCCAGACGTCAGGATTCCTTTCCAGTGGCTCAGGGGATCCTGGCGCTTCCTGATTGCAGGTCGCTCTGGAACTGGGTGATCGCTCTGTTTCCGGGACCAGGTCTGAATGTTGCTGGGTCCCTGGGCCTAGATCCAACATTGCACCCTGAGGCAGCACCCGAGAAGTCCCAGGGTCCTCCCTGATGTCCACACTCGCTGTGCACCTGCGAGGTGGGTCAGGAAAGGGATGTCATCAGGTGACACGCTGGGCAATACGTTACCCCTCCATGAAGCGGCCCACCCTGAAGTGTCCCCACCTGCACCCCACAGGACATTCTTCAACCCGGACACACCCCAGGTGTCTGAGGCAAATTCTTTATTGAAATACAACCTTCATACCATACAGATCACCCACTTAAAGTGGACAATTTGGGGTCATTAATGCACTCACAAGGCTGTACAGCCACCATCTCTAATTCCAGAAGATTCCATCATCCTGAAAGAAGCCCTGTCCATCCCCGTGAATACTCACCCCTCCCTTCCCAACCCCAGTGCCCTGAGTGCACTTCCTGCCTCCGCGCAACGGCAAGCAGAAGCACCGAAACGACATCCAGGATTGGGAGGCAGATTTTTTTACATTGATGAGCACTGATCAAAATCCTTCCCAGAATATCAGGCCCTGATCTCTGGGGGTCCAGGGCTTATGTAGGATAAGCAATCAGGAAGTACAGAGACAGAATGGCTTGTCAGTTGGGGATTGGTCTATACAATGTGCATCACAGTGACCAGCCGTTTCTAGGAAACAGAAGCAGCCAGAACTGCAACTGGACCTATCACCCGGGCAACCAAGAAACACTGAAGTGTATTGGCCTGGGGGGCGTTTTCTTGTTACTTCTGGAGTCACCTGTCCTGAGCATTTCCTGTCCATGGAGCCCACACTGTGTGTCCTCTGTGTCCGGTGTCTCTGAGCATGGTGACCTCAAGGTCCATCCACAGTGTGGCGATCGTCACAGACTCTCCCTTTTCCTGGCTGAGCGCTGTCCCAGTGCTTGTGGATGGCCCTTGCTGTGCGTGTCCACTCCCCGCTCCATGGACACTGGGGCCGTTTCCACCTTGGCTGTTGTGGATTGTGCTGCTCTGAACATCTATGTCCAAGTCTTTGTGCAGCTGTGTTTTTCTTTCTCTTGGATACATATCTGTCCAGGAGGTGAAATGCCAGATCACATGGCAGTTTGTAGCCTTTTTTTGTTTTTGTTTTTTTTGACACAGGGTCTCGCTATGCAGTTCAGGCTGGCCTTGAGCTCACTTTGTAGCCCAGGCTGGCCTTGAACTCGCAACGATCTTCCTGCCTCAGCCTCCTGAGTGCTGGGATTACAGGCGTGCGCCACCACGCCCAGCAGGTTTTAGCCTTTTGAGGAGCTGCCACTCTGTTTTTCATGACCATGGCCACACAATTCTTCATTCCCGGCAAAGCACAGCGTTCTGATTTCTCCACATTATCTCCCACTTATTACTGGAATGATAGCCCTGCTGGTGGGGTTAAAGTGGTATTTCCTTGTGATTTTTTTTCTTTCCTTTTACTTTTCTTTTAGTTTTTTCAGTACAAGTGATTGAAGTCAGGTCTTCCACTGAACTATATCCCCAGCCCTTTTTACTTTTTATTTTGAGACATGGTCTTTGTTAAGTTACCCTGGCTGGCCTCAAACTGGAGATCCTCCTGCCTCAGCCTCCTGATTACAACTATGTGCCACTGTGCCTGGCCAATAATGATTTATTTTATGCTAAGGATGGAGCCCTTGGCCTCCATTGGGCATCTTATTCTCTACTGCTCAACTACACCACCAGCCTTTTGGTGAATTTTTGAAGCACTTCAAGCTTACAGAAAAGTTAAAAGAACAAGAATCATTTATTGAACACCTGCATACCCTGCCCCAGGCTCCTCAATTCTTTACATTCTTTCTTCTTTCCATCCACACAAGAATGGGTAAATGTATTGCCACAAAGTCTAACACCAGAATACTACATAGCCATGAAAAAGACTTCACTACACACAGCATGGATAAGTCTCCCAAGCAACACTGAGTCAGGGCCAACAGACCAAGGAATCGCCCTGGTGGACATTCTAGGAAGGGCTCTAGGGATTCCAGGAGACTATGGGGGCTGATATGCTCTGTTACTCTTCCCAGGACACCTGGTCATAGATGTGTTCAGTGTGAGAAAATTTGCTGATCTGAATCCCCCGTCCTAGCACCGTGGGTTAAACCCAGGGTCTTTACACTCCATATCACCAGCCCTTTTTGTTTTTTATTTTTTTGTGAGACAGGGTCTTGCTTAAGTCACTAAGTTACCCAGCCTGGGCTCCAACTTGTGATCCTCCTGCCTCAGCTTCCCAGTTCACTGGGATGATAGGTGTGTGTCACCACAACAAAGGCAGACTTTTCAGAGAGAAGAGGACATGGCCATGAGACAGTGCAGGCTACGGTGTCCTGGGCACAGGGCCAGGGACTCCTGGAGCCCCACACACAGGAGAGGCAAGGGAACCTTCCTTTCTTTTTTTTAGGGGGGCGCTTTTTGAGACAGGGTCTCACTATGCAGTTCAGGCTGGCCTTGCGCTCACTTTGTAGCCCAGGCTGGTCTCAACTCACAACGATCCTCCTGTCTCAGCCTCCCAAGTGCTGGGATTACAGGAGTGTGCCACTGTGCCCAGCAACAGAACCTTTCTTGAAGTCTCAGGCTGCAGCACAGCCCTGCATGGGCCTGTGTCTCAGCCCAATGACACTGACCCAGAACTTCTCTAGAAATATGAGAGAACAAATTTCTATCAGTTTAAATTATGTCTTTGGCAGTTTGTTCCAGCACCCTGGGAACCAGATTCCATGCCTGGCGGACTTCTGTTTCTCAGTACTGGGGACTAAATCCAGGACCTTTGCACTGAAAACCATCTCCAGCCCTTTTTTATTTATTTTTTGAGCCAGGGTATTACTAAGTTGCCCAGGCTGGACTCAAACTTATGATCCTCCTGCCTCAGCCTCACAAGTGCTGAGGTGACAGGCGTGAGCCACCACACCCAGCTACATTCCTCATTTTAGTTCTCTCCGGCCTGACCGGGCTCGTGTGTTCGTGTCTCTCTTCCTTAAGGTTTATGTGGAAATCTGAGCTCACCATCAGAAGTGGAAAAACAGGTGTCATACACTGACTGGTTGACAATAACCCACAAAGGAATACAATGAAAAAGCCGGGCGTGGTGGCGCACGCCTGCAATCCCAGCACCGGGGAGGCTGAGACTAGAGGATTGTGAGTTCAAAACCAGCCTGGACAACTCAACCAGTTCAAGGACAACTATACTACACTTTGAGACTCTGTCTGAAAAAAAAGAAGAAGAGAAATACAATGAACTCACACCCAGGAAGCTGCATCCAAGACAGGTTGGCACAGACAGGGCTCCTCAGGGCTGTTGTGGGCAGCTTTGCATGGGAACTGAGAAGAGAATAGCTTTGCTAAGGGGGATACTGGTTCGGGGATTAATCATGTGCAAGAGGAAAGCCAGGCGTGGTGGCACACACCTGTCCTCCCAGCATTCAGGAGGCTGAGGCAGGAGGATCGTTGTGAGTTCAAGGCCAGCCTGGACTACATAGCAAGACCCTGTCTCATAAAAATCAAAACAAATTAATAGATTAAATAGAAGAGGAATCTGAGGCTAAAGGAATAGAGAAAGACTCCGGAAGTCTTAACTTCCACCCATGGCCCAGCTCTGGTAGCCCACGGGTGTGAGGGGTGTTTCTAGGCCCTGGGGAGCAGGCCCTGCTGATTCAGTCTGGAGGTCAGGAAGGTGACCCAGGGCTGAGCCAGATCTGAAGTCATACAGTGCTGCAGGCATCCTGGGGTGAGCTGGGCAGGTGAGGGTGGCTGCTGCTGTCTGCCAGACGCATTCCTGCCCAGTGGCATCACCGTGGGCAGGCAGCGTGGGCAGCATTGCCTGGAATGCGCTGTTTGCAGGCACCACCCTCCCCTGGGCTGGTGGGGAAATGGAAATGCAGTCACTGGGGACAGTGGCAGCTTGGGTGGAGGAAGGCCAGTGTGTGTGGTCCCTTAGCCCTCGGTAGTATCTGTGCTTTTCCTCCCACCCAACTCAGTTCAGTTCTTCCAGTTTGCTGCAAGCCCCTGCCCCAGGGCCTTTGCACTTGCAGTCTCCCCAGCTGTCCCTCAGCCAGATCCCTCACATGGTAGAGTGCCCCCTTGTGGGCCTCAGTTTCCCATACCACACACTAGATGGGCATGCCTTCCAGACCCTGGCTTCCCCTGAGCAGAGTCCCGTGGAAGGTGGAGATGGATCTGGGCTCCAGGGATCCTCTCATTCCTTTTGTCAGATGCCCAATTTAATCTGTGCTTCTTGGTCCATTTTGCCCCTGTTCTTGGATGCTTGGGGATTATTGGATAAACTGAGGCCTGAGAGAGTGGATGAAGAAAATATTCAGGAAAGCTGAGGCCCCGCTGTCACTTGGCCTTTCAGCTGAGAGTCAGACAGACCTGTACTTTCCCTTTAAACTCTCTACAGTCTATGCTGTGCATCTTTGGGTCACTTTACTGACCTCTCTGAACCTCAGGTTCCTCCACAATAAAATGAAGGTAGTAACAATCCATTGCCCATCCTGTTGGATCAATGAAGGGTGTGGACAGGAATCTTACTGCAGAATGCCATCCTAATTATTAGGTGAGTACACTTTATATTTTTAAATTTTTTTATTGGTACATTTTAAATATACATAATGATCACACTCATCATAAGAAATTTGTGCCTGTACATGATATATCTTCCTTCTTTTTTTTCCCCATTCTCCTTCCCTCCCTTTAACCTCTATTCCCGTCCTTATTTATAAAAGCTTCCTTTCCATTTTATCCTTCTATTTTTTTTGTCCTTTCTTTCCTTTCCTCCTTCCTCTCTCTTTTTTAAAATTTTTTTTGTTTTTTTT